ATGTTGCATATAAATATCATCATGAAAAATGTCAGAAGCTTGTGTTGTAGTTCTTGTCGACCATTGTCCATTGAGATGCATTCACTTTTCGTTCTATTTCTTTGTAATTTGCCAAGACTGCAATAAAACATTGCATTGTTCAGAAATTAAAAGCTTATTCGTGTTAAAATGATTTATTGTGTTGCTAAGCAAATTATTTGCATTTCATAATCGACGTATATTTAGATATGACCATTTGAAAATTGTTAGCACGATATTATTCTATTAACAATTTTATTTTTGAAAAACAAAATGATTGCTTACTCATAGAAATTTCGTTTCTCTCTGTAGTTTAAGAAAATCCGAAAAGGTCACCCCAACGCATTTCTTACTTTAGAATATGACTCTCTCTCTAAAAGATCTGGTATAAAAGATCAGTGGTGACTTCTCATAGTGATATTTATGGCTCTCGTGATAGCTAGTGTATGACTCAGTAGGTTTCGACGAGGGAACATTTTTTGCTACCCAGGATAAACAATCCGATAGCTGGATCCAATCGGATTTCGATCGGTTCCTGCACGATTCTAAGTAAACCTGGGTTGTGGACACACTCGTCGATCCCTAGTGTTGGAATCCGATCGATTCTTGCAGGAACCAGTCAAAACCCGATAGGTTTCTTTAGGATCTCGTTGGAATGCGACTCCTTAAATGCCTAACGAATTCGACTGTTGGATTTAGTCGGATGTTCACCGGATTCCAACACTAGAGATTCGTTAGTAGTTCCTCAACCCGGAATCCCATGGGAATTTGTCGGCTCGGCGAGTTTTATAAGATCCTATCGGATTCATTCACCTGGACAATTAAAAACATACTCACGCAATTTCTAATTTAAAGGTGAAGCAACCGATATATCTTCTGCAAACACTGCAACCTTCACCTACGACAATAACGCTTCACGTACAACACAAGCCACCTATGCCACCATTACGTCTTCATTAGCATTGACCCCTGTGTCTCAAACAGAAGTAGTGGTCACTTCAATAACTTCAGAAACATCTATAACCCAACTGACGACCACCGAGAGTCCTAGTTCTTCAACAAACTTCATCGGTTCTATCGACAATAATACATATACATCCACCTTGGCCACAACTATTACAATGGTGGCTCAGAACACTTTCGAAACTACAACAGTCGCTGAGTCAAATGTTAAGAGTTCAACAGACGAAAACAACTCTATAGTGATTATAACTACGACTGAAAGTCGGAGTACTTCCGGTATTGTAGAACTTACTGAGGATTCAAATGTTACTACGACCCCATCTATCGCTAGTAAAGTAACCGAATCTCAGACTACCTCCCAATTCGAAGAAACTGATAATACATACATAACAATCACAACCACCACGGAAACGTTCAGCACTTCAACTGTAGCAACTTTCACTTCTGACACTTCTAATTCTGATCATTCGTCTATATCAGGCATTGTACGAACAGATGAAACAACAGTACAAACACAAATCGGTCAGGGCACATCAGTATTTACAATGAACTTATCGGAAAGCATGATATCATCAACTCCAGCAAACAGTATGCTTGAAACAATTATATTCACTTTATCGTCAAGCATAAATGCAACAACAGCAACAGCTCAGAACAATTCTACAGATAAAGCAGGCAGCGATTCATCGCTATCAACCGTATCAATGGTAGATAGCTTGATCTCGTCTACTGTAGTAACCGATTTAACTCAAACGAGTAACGATATTTTCTCGTCTGCCATTATTCCTACCAGGCAATCTGAAATAACCTCTAAGAGTCAAACAAATCAGAACACATTGATACCAACCACGACAGTTGCAGGAGATATAATTTCCCTCTCATCACAGGCCATCACTATTAACATCACAGTGTCTACACCAGAGTTTTCCATTAGCTCCACAATAAACTCTTCGATGACTTTTGACGACCTGGCAATGAAGGACACATCGATAACCTCTATGACTATCACTCAGGCACTAAGTTCTACAGTGATCCCAGCTTCAATTGAAGACACATTCATTTCTTACTCAACATCTTCCTCAAGCATTACAGGAGACACTAAGACGACTGCCGAGAGTCAAACATATGAAAATACCTCATTGCCATCCGACACGATAGTAGCAAGCATGACTTCGTCAACCACACTGGCCACTGCAATTAGCGCCAGTTCGTTCACTCCTGAAAGTCGCCTTACTCTTACAGCACAACCCACCACAACTATGAACGATCAGACGGCAGAGAATCGATTGATATCGACCACAGAAGCAAATGAAAACAGCAGCTCTCTCACTAGCGAATTCTCTACTACAAACACCATCACCTCTAATATTATTCCGTCGCGATCAGCAGGGATCATTTCTGACACTCAAACTACAAGAACTTTTGATGATATTAATTCTTCTTCAACACTACCAAGCGTGTCTGATACTACCAGTACTCTCGTATCCTCCTCTACAGCGAGTAGCACGCTCGCAGCCGAAACAACTTTTGATATTGCAACAAGTGGACGAACTTTGGATACGAACACTATGATCACGGAAAGCTATGCTTTGGTAACGACAACAACAACCGCTTATACACCAGATCTATGTCGCAACTCAACACAACTTGCACTAAGTAACGGCACATGTGTTTCCTATGGTGTCGCACAGGTTTTTCAAAACCTTTTCCCCTTCAATATTCTAAGTTCTATTTCTTTTCAAGGAATACGCTGCTACATTGGTCAATAGTGTGAACACTAGTGCTATCGATTTAGCCAATGCACTCCCTTTGTACATATCATCGACTGTGAATTCAAGCCTATCGAGTAACTCCAATAACACTGTAAGCCCAAGTAAAATCAATGAAGTCGTCGATAACGTGAACAATATCAGTATCGTTGTAAATTCTGATTCGTCTCTCTTCATGGTACAAAAAATCAATCTTAATGCACAGCAAGTCGTAGTAGGGGCGAGTTTCCAACGAATGTCAGGTGGATCACCCGTCACCAATACTACCCAAGATTCCACGTTCAATGGAAACCTTTCAGCAGCTGCTCTCGTTTCCACAGAATCATTAGTCAACATACAATCTCTGACCATGTTCATCATTGATAAACCAACCATGTATGAATCCATTGGCAATGCGACAAACAAGTCGTTAGCCTCATCAATTATTGTTGCATCCGTACTAAGAATCAATCCGTCATCTGCTGCCATAAACATTTCTCTATATTTCCAAATATTACCTGAATACCGTCCAAATGCTACAGTCATATATTCGTGTTCATTCTATGACATAAACAACTCTGATTGGAACGAAACGGGCTGCACAGTACCGATTCTCAACATACAATTCAATCGATACGAGTGTAGTTGCAATCATCTAACAACGTTTGCTCTCACTTGGTCAGCCACTCAGATATCCGAAACAACAAGTAACGTCATATCTACGAATTTGATTACGACATTAGCTACGGACACCTCCGACAGTTCAACATCACTGACTCTTACTAGCACGTTTTCAACAAACAAAACAAATACCGAAGCTATAGCTATCCCGACTGCTAGCACCCCCGAAAAAATCACCTCCAATCTTCCAACGCCACAATCAGATACATTCCTTAGTATAGAGACGACAACACCATCCTCAACAATCGTCTCCATGGTACCTTCGAGTGCAGTCCATTATATATCAGAAACAACACCGTCAACAAACATTGCGACAACAGAAACTAACTCTCCTCTCACTCCACCGGCTCCTGTTCAGACAAATCATACACAAACAGCGCCAACCGAGGCACCAGTCAACACCAACCTAGTGACTTCAATCACGCCAACGTTTGGTTTCAGCGAAACCAGTACTACAGGAGCTCCAACCCTGTCTTTAACTGCCCCCAACACACAAACCGTTACCGTTATCTCGTCATCAGTTTCTACTTCGCCAAACAACGAAGGAACCGTGATAACAGCTGCAGGTATCTCTCCAGAACAAGTTACTCCACTAACTGGTACAACAGTGCCCAGCGCAACAAGTAGCACTGGAACTGAGAATTCATTCTCAAACATCCCGATCACGCAAACTAGCAATGAACGCTCGTCACCTGTCACTACTTTGCCAAACAACGCAGGAACCGTGACAACAGCTACAGGTATCTCTCCAGAACAAGTTACTCCACTAACCGGTACAACCGGCTCCAGTGAAACAACCACCAACGGGACTGCGAATTCATTCTCAAGCATACCGATCACCCAAACTAGCAATGAACTCTCATCACCTGTCACTCCTTCGCCACACAACGCGGGAACCGTTACAACAGCTGCAGTTATCTCTCCTGAACAAGTTACTCCACTAACCGGAACAACCGGCTACAGTGCAACAAGTAGCACCGGAACTGAGAACTCATTCCCAAGCATCCCGATCACGCAACCTAGCGATGAACTCTCATCACCGGTCACTACTTTGCCAAACAACGCAGGAACCGTGACAACAGCTGCAGGCATCTCTCCAGAACAAGTTACTCCACTAACCGGAACAACCGGCACCAGGGCAACAACAAGCACCGGGAC